AAACGACTAAATCATCAAACAATTAGTGATTGCATTCAAGGCTATAGTGAAGGCCAGACATCAAGTGCTGTCAAAATGCACTTAAATTTAGTACACTTTTAGTGCATTTGACGCTAAACTATACAAATTAATTGTAATATACATTACAGTTATATCATTAAACTGTAACCAATTTATGGTCAAAATATACATAAATAGCAAACACTTAGCACTTGATAGCAATCAATGGTGTGATGAGTGGACGGGAGCGCCGGTAGACCTAAAAAAGTTAGATATGGGTGACACTCGACTCGAGTGGACATACCTTTTGCTCGAAACGTATAGTTCCCGTCACATTGGAGTCACCCTTGAGTACGACCACCGCTTTGACTGACATTTTTGCGATCAATGAATGCCTTTTTGGTTACAATTAACACAAATTGAAAGTCAATTCACTTTCAACTCAAATGTGGTTCAAAAGGGAGACAAACAGCAAATGAATGCAAATCTGTTTACAGTATAACCGCTATTTTGACGCAACTGTCTGTGCCTTCACTACCTTTTCCCATAAACACCGGTAGAGGTCTGCACGCACTCTATGAGTGCCTTTGTATTGCTGTCAACTATGATACGGTATAATTGATACCGGTGCTTTTACTACCAAGTAATTGCCGGTAATTATAGGTATTTTATAGTGAATACCTTTTTATTATTTGTTTAATGCATTCATTAAAATGAATCCTTATCGCATATCTATACTATTTATTACTATATTTGATTTGCACAAACTTTTAACTCCCAATAAGTCATAAGTGGAAAGTAATGTAAATTCAATAAAGTTATTATAAAAGTTTCATTCATTTGAACCTCTAAATTCAAACACCTTGCTAAATGCTGCATAATTGCAGTATTAGTTGGCGTTTTAAGTTGAATCTGGCAAATCATGTCATGAATTATTTGTCAATTTATGATTTGATGGCAATTTCGCGCAGATTTTAATTGTTTGCAAACTTTTATTTTCCATTTACTGTATCATTGAATGTCAAAAATATAAGTCCATTTTATTCTATTATTTTAATAAAATGTTTAATAAGTTTTCATAATTTGTTTTTTTGAATACAGTAGCAAAATGAACATTAAGACTGTATTATGCCGTTATAGTACTGATTTCTTTTTAATGTCCATAGTATTAACGATTACTGCAATTTTATTAACACTAATAATAACCATAAAGTCTTACATATGGAATATCCCCATTGAATTTGACATTATAGCTCCGATCGACTATTTCCTAATCGATAACCACTCCTACATTATGACTACTGTTTTAATCATTAGTAAATGTTATGCATTTCATTAGTGATTCAATATATTCATCAGTTTTCCATTATTTAAATTACAAGTAATGAGTTTCTCAATGGAATAACATTTTTTGTTTTATTAATATATTTAGCGTGGGTTTTGACGTCTAAAATGTTACTCACAATAAATGTCATAAAATTCATATTTACTGTACAAATATCATGTGTTTATTACGGTATAAGAATGAAAATATTAATCTTATTTATAACAAGTGTTATGCAATCAATGTCTCACAATTTAGTAGTCACACAAAATATTGTAATGATTTATGTATCGATTGTTTACTACAATTTATAAAAGTTGTAATATAAATAGCATATTGATTGAGATATTATTTACATAAGGATTTTATAAGTTTTTCTTAATGTTAGAACAAATTTAAATATTTAAACATTTTATTAATTTATGTTAGCATCTGTTGACATTTCATGCAATATTAGTTAAAGTAAAATACAAGTTGATAAATTTATAATTTATATTATTTTTCATGTAAATTTATACATTTATTTAGAAAATATTCTTTATATAGAAATTAAATATTTCATTCTAACCTATTCCTTATTATATAAGGAACATTAGATAGCTAATTATAATCTATTACTTATCAAAAATTTTACTTTACTTTGTAATTAAATACTTGTAACTTAAAGACTCTTTCTAAAGTATATTATAAGTATTGTATTAACATATATTATAACATATATTCATAACATATATTCATAACATATATTCATAACATATATTCATAACATATATTCATAACATATATTCATAACATATATTATATATTGTACAGAATATTCCCGAATGGATTCGCATTCAAATGAAAGACATAAGAAGTGCCTCCGATTTTATAGACAAATATCTGACGGCTGCCGACAATACACACAATGAGAGTAATAAAAACATATTTTTACAGTACTTAGAGAGAGGCGATTCAGGTATTGTCACAATTCATTGCTTGATACTTTTGTAAATTATACGATATAATTCAATGTTAAACTATTAACTCGTTGTTTGTTACTATTATATAAGACTCAGGAAACCGTTCCGCAGAGGAAATGGATATCAATGAGGAAAGTAAGAGAACTTTTTATAGCTTTAAAAAATAAATCCCTATTTTTAATGTTATATTTGTTTTTGTCGAATAGGAAGAAAGCTAACAAAATGTAAGGAAAAGTGTTTTTAATTGATATGTTTATGAATATGTTTTGGATAATAAAACTTGACATTTGATACAAAAGTACCCAGAATTGCGAGTCCGGCCGCGTGTATACCTGAGATGAAAATCATTGAACTCCAGGCCACCAATTCTGGCGATGAACTATATTACCCGTCGTGTGTGCGAATACCCCGGTGCTCGGGCTGCTGCCTCAGCCAACGATTACAGTGCGTTCCTATACTCACATCATTTGAAGACATATCTGTAAAGAAATTAGAAATAGTTTTGCGATAATTAAAGTAAATTTGTAATGAATTGAATGGATGTTCAGGTGATTCGCGTGAAGTACTCAACGGTCGAGAGGCGACTGAAGTTTGAAGGATTCAAAGTGTTTCGTATCGAAAGGCACGACATGTGTTCGTGTGATTGCATTCAGAAAGCGGTCGACTGTTCGCCGAAACAAATCTACTCCGAAAGCGAGTGTCGATGCCTTTGTCCAAACGTATCGCGAGTGAATGAATGCCAAAATTTTTATAATAAGTATTGGGATTATAACGACTGTGACTGCAAATGCAAATCAATGCCTTTGTGTTCCACTGGATTTTCGTTCAATAACATCACATGCCGGTACGGCATCCCTGTCCACTAATTTTTTAAAAAGTCTATTAAAATTAATTTATTAATATTTTAAAAAATAGTTGTGAATCAATGGATAATGACTCAAATATTAGCCATACCGATGGATCCATTGACTTGAATGATGGCTATAGTAGGTTGGGTGCGCACCAGTATGCTCTCGATAAGAAAGTGGACACTGAAATAGACGCTCAAAACAATAAGGGTCTGAATATATTGAACGCCAAAGGAATTAATCCCGACTTTAACGACGACTACCAACAAAACACTGGCTCTTAATAGTAGGCAATCATTAGTTTTTAAGATTTAAAAAAGTTTTAATGTATTATTTTTTAGTCATTTTATAGTTGTGTTCATAAAGATACTTATTTTATAATTTCAAAATACAAATTCTGTACAGAATAAAATGCACAATAAATATGAGAAATATTTAACAAAACAAATGTGTGCTAAGGTTTGGGTCGCTTTTTCTTCTGTATTTCCATGACTTTCATCAGAAACTTTTGCCTTTCGTTATATTGTTTGGTTTTGATGCCAAATAAAGCCGTTTCTAATTTTCTGCGCGAATAAATCAAATATATAATACATAGCGTGAAGCCTATCACCGAAATGGCCATCAAATTAGGCAAATATAGTACACGCGTGAAGTGTCCGGGAAACTTTTTGCTAAATAATTCAAGAATACATAAAACTATTCATACATTTTTGCACAAAAACTTACAAATAGTTGTGATTCTTTTCACTGATTCCCAGTATTGCCGACAAACACACCATACAAAAGATGCCGTACCCGACGCCCTTATGAATAGATTTGAATTTAGTGGTCAACCTCTTAGTGATCAACGGCAGAGAGTAATAAACGATGGCAACGAAGAACTGTATGGTTAGCGCCAATAGAGTGATGACTCCAACCCATACATGGATTGAGTAGAAAGCGATGGCGATTCTGTTCCTCGAGAAGCTTATTATCAGCGAATAGATGGGACACATGGCTAACGCCAGGGTAATAAAATTCAAGAAGCCGTGGATTAGCCGCAAACCTTTCCAATGAATCTTTAAATCAAAGCCTATTCTGTGTACTAAAGACGCTAAATATTAAGGTAAACACGTTAATGGTTATTGAGATTAATACGTGGGATTTACGAGTAATTTGTGGTAATCTGTGGTAATCTTACAAAATCCACTAATGATTAAAACAGTAGTCATAATGTAGGAGTGGTTATCGATTAGGAAATAGTCGATCGGAGCTATAATGTCAAATTCAATGGGGATATTCCATATGTAAGACTTTATGGTTATTATTAGTGTTACTAAAATTGCAGTAATCGTTAATACTATGGACATTAAAAAGAAATCAGTACTATAACGGCTTAATACAGTCTTAATGTTCATTTTGCTACTGTATTCAACAAAACAAATTATGAAAACTTATTAAACATTTGATTAAAATAATAGAATAAAATGGAATTATATTTTTGACATTCAATGATACAGTAAATGGAAAATAAAAGTTTGCAAACAATTAAAATCTGCGCGAAATTGCCATCAAATGATAAATTGACAAATAATTCATGACATGATTTGCCAGATTCAACTTAAAATGCCAACTAATACTGCAATTATGCAGCATTTAGCAAGGTGTTTGAATTTAGAGGTTCAAATGAATGAAACTTTTATAATAACTTTATTGAATTTACATTACTTTCCACTTATGACTTATTGGGAGTTAAAAGTTTGTGCAAATAAAATATAGTAATAAATATATGCGATAAAGAATTCATTTTAATGAATGCATTAAACAAACAATAAAAAGGTATGAATTATAAAATACCTATAATTACCGGCAATTATTTAGCAGTAAATGCACCGGTATCAATTATACCGTATCATAGTTGACAGCAATACAAAGGCACTCATAGAGTGGGTGCAGACCTCTACCGGTGTTTATGGGAAAAGGCAGTGAAGGCACAGACAGTTGCGTCCAAATAGCGGTTATACTGTAAACAGATTTGCATTCATTTGCTGTTTGTCTCCCTTTTGAACCACATTTGAGTGTAAAGTGAATTGACTTTGAATTTGTGTTAATTGTAACCAAAAAGGCATTCATTGATCGCAAAAATGTCAGTCAAAGCGGTGGTCGTACTGAAGGGTGACTCCAATGTGACGGGAACTATACGTTTCGAGCAGAAGGTATGTCCACTCGAGTCGAGTGTCACCCATACCTAACTTTTTTAAGTCTACCGGCGCTCCCGTCCACTCATCACACCATTGATTGCTATCAAGTGCTAAGTGTTTGCTATTTATGTATATTTTGATCATAAATTGGTTACAGTTTAATGATATAACTGTAATGTATATTACAATTAATTTTGTATAGTTTAGCGTCAAATGCACTAAAAGTGTACTAAATTTAAGTGCATTTTGACAGCACTTGATGTCTGGCCTTCACTATAGCCTTGAATGCAATCACTAATTGTTTGATGATTTAGTCGTTTAATTACACATTTCCTGATGGCTTTACAATTAATTTACAACTATTTATATGATTCACTATTTATTTATAACTATTTATGTAACGAAATATGTAAATGAAATGCATTTGCATTACCCGTAGGGCTCGTCGGTGTCGGTGACGGGAAGTGTGAGTGGACTGACTCCAGGACAGCACGGATTTCATGGTATGTATGGCTTATGGAGTGTATGAATAAGGCGTGAAGTACTGATGGATTGTATGTATGGTTTAGTGCATGAATTTGGTGATAATACCAATGGCTGTACGAGCGCTGGACCCCATTATAACCCTCACGGCAAAGAACACGGCGCCCCCACCGATGCCAACAGACATGTCGGCGATTTGGGTAACGTTACCGCCGATGCCAACGGCGTGGCTAACGTGAACATCGAGGACAAACAGTTGGCCCTCACCGGCAATCA